CTACCAATAATTTTGTGGTATTATCGGCGTACATGATAAGTAAATAAAAACGATATCAATCGATGAAACTCCTTTATTGCGTTGTTTACTGATGTACAACACGATTGTGCAATTTTTCCTTTTTTGACCCAAAAATCACAACTCAATTTATTACGCATCGATCAATTTTTATTTTTATCTTATAAAATACCATCATTATATATTTCATAATTCATATTGTTTATAGCTGTCTATGTATTTTGCAAAACATTAAAACTACCTACCTGTTCAGATGTATCAGATGTATGATAATAAATAATAATAATAATAAAACTACAACACTATTCAACGATTGGGCACCAAAAGATTTATGTACCTATTATAACGTAATAATATAATATTAAATATACAACATTTTCAAAATTGGTCTTACCTATTCATAATACAGGTATATATAATCTTCGGAGATTATTTTCATTTGATTAAAAATTGTGTGTTAAGATTTTTCTTTTTTTTAAACTAACAATAATAATATATTGTCCTTTTATATTTAGTTTATCTGAACTTAATGAAATTATTATTATCATTACAATTTTTATCATCTATAACATATTAAATAGTAATAACTAATAATATATCAATCAGCTACCTGTTACTAATTTACTGTAATTTCTTACTGCACAGTATGTAATTCAGATGTACAATAAATAATAATCAAACATTTAGGCAACTATATAGCATTTTACGAAATTTAAATTTCATGAATTGTTGTACTTTTACTTAGTTACACAATGTACAACAGTTAGCAAAATATAACTTTTAATTCATGATTGTATTATATTTAGTAGGTAGGTACTTACATAATAATATTGCGATGACGTACCTATATAATATTATAAATTATAATGTTCAGTGCATGAATACTTAGGTAAATTATTTTCCATGCAAAATCGTGTTGTGATTTTATCAGGTAAAAAGGGAAAAGTGCGCAATCGTGATGTACCGCTCTTAATGATTGTAGGTATGTAGGGAGCTTCAGCAGACCTAATAGCTTCCGTTTGAGAGGGAATTAATATTTAATACGATATATTTTGTCATTATTTGAGACATTTTATTGCCGATGGTCATATTCGCATGACAATTATCATTGATGATTAAGACAAAGACTCTTTTGGATTTTACAATAATAATTTCAGTTAGGTACTTAGAGCTGTGTCTATGTATAATTACTTGTCTGTAACATTTATAATAGATAACATATATAATATGCAATTCACGTTGGCTCATTATTTTATTATAGTAGCGACTTGTATGGTTCTTCGTATAATTTTCCCACGCTTTGATTTGATATGGTCGATTTCAATTTATGGATTTAAAGTCCATTAAGATCGTGTGTTTAATATTTTAAAATTGATAATTTTATATTTTTACCTACCTATAGGCTTTCAGTTTTCACTTTAGATAATAGTTGAATTAGTCGTATTTGCATTTATTCCAATAACAGTGTTTCATAATAGTACTGTTTATATTTTGTAACTTATTCAAAACCATTAGGTTTCATCATGTCGAATTTCGATCCAACAATAATTTGTAATCAGTTCAAAAGTTCGAGCACTTCTAAAATTCTAAGCCATCAGTATAATAATTGAAAACGTTTGAAATCGTTTTTATCTACGATTATTACTTTCGTGAAATCTATAATTTGTATTCTACCCATTTCAATATCGTATATTATATAATATTCGAGTATTCGACATTAAATCGATGACTCATTAGTATAATATTATAATGTGTCAGCCATCAGGTCCGGGTTAACCATTAACCCGGCGCGGCGGTCTCTATAGGTGCCGCACATGCCATGGTCCAATTCAATTGCAGGGAATTTCAAAATGGGAATCGTCTCATGATAAGTAATTAAGAAACGAAATGTTAGCCAAGGGCAAATAACAGGCTGGATATAATTTTTTTTTTTTTTAAACATTGCTTATAAGTTATAATAATAATAATAGGATGCACATGCCTACACATTTTAATTATACATTTTAAGACACACATTTTACGCGTTTGTAATAATAACATCATTGGAATGTTGCACAGTGCATGTAATACCTCTAATACCATAATTAATAAATTCAAAGCAATTTTACTTTGGACTGCATCGTGTGCATAGTAAATATTTCTTTGTAAAATAACTATTCTAACTTATCGTTTTTTTTTTTTTTTTATGAAAATAATTATTGTTCTACCTGATAAAAACTCATTCTTACTAGGTATATTATAATAATATTACATTTTTCCATTCAAAATTAACAATAACCATTATGCATTATGCTCACTGTATTACTTAAAGTTGCATATTTTTCAGGGTACAACAAAAGTATAACATTATTTATACTTATTTTTTTTTGTTAAACTCATACAATTCTTATTTCAAATATCGTGATTATTATTGTTATAAATTCGGTTTCTTATTATAGGTGCAACTGAACCACATTTTTAGGAGACTGTAGCAGTGTAGTAGGAGCACTCATATTTTTTATTTGATGATCTATGCAAAAATTCCCCCACACCTGTCTAAGTTTGTATATTTGTAAATAAACAACTTGCCAATATTGTTAGGGTTATTGAAGAAAATATTCGTCGTAACTTACCTTAACATTTATATTTCGTGATTCTATAAAAATATTTTAGGAGCTTAGACCCCTTAGTTTCCTTCTAGTTTCACCTATGGTAGTGGGTGAAGTCCCTGACGACATTGTGTTATCTGAAAAATGTTTAGGCAATTATGTGTAAAATAGTAGTGAAAATTAATTTATAAATCTAGTTTGACTTTTGAATGCAATGATTTGTTTGGCACTGCCACATATTATGGTGTATATAATATATATGTATAATGAATTACTAAAAATAGAAACTATTATTTTGTATTTGGCTAATTCTAAATTGATTGACCGCAAATAAACTAAAAGAGGTTTTGATTGAAAATTCGGAGATATTAAGTACTTACCAACATTTATAATAAAATATATATTCCCAATTTACGCTTTACGCAGTAAAAAAACTAAAAATAACAACGAAATACTAATTTAAATACGACATAAAATAATTTTAGTCGCCAACGCTCGTTTATTGTAAATAAAGTTTTCCATTGATTTTTTCGTACTGATCAATACAGTTCATATACCTACTTTATTAATACATTTAGAATTTTACATTAATTTTTATGAAAATATTAACATGAAGACAAAAATAAAAATAAAAATTACTAGTAGAAAGAAGGTACTACAGGCTTCTTCAAGTTGGAGAAACCATAAATATTGCAATTACCTATATTATAATAATATTTAAGTATTATATACTAATAATTATTAATTATTATATTATAAAAGTTCCAGATACTGTAACATAATAACAATAATCATACGTTTTATTATTTTTACTTTGGGAGATTAAAAATCATATTTCAAAATGATGGGTCAAAATAAAAACCTGAGGTAAAATGAAAAAACGATCTTTAGCCATAAAATATGTTAATCAATCCCATCGTACATAATAAGTATTATTAACTTTCTTAATTTTTTTTTAAAGTTGTGCAAAAGTTATGCAAAGTTGAGCAAAAGTTGTGCAAAAGAAAAAAATGTATTTCAAATAAAATTTGACACAATGGATTGATATTTTTTTATTAGTTAGGTACGTAATATTTACATTCTGTTTACAAGTAAATACGTCATATTACAATAAATAAGATAACATGAAACTATATTTACGAAACGTGACGACGTGATAGGACTGATAGAAGTTATCGTTCATTGACAGATGACATTAGGTAGGTACTTTAAAAGATTGATTATACCATCATTCTCCATTGAAATTTATTGTTCTAATGCACATAAATTAAATATTACTTTATTATAATTTACATAATGTGATCGTGTTACACAATAGAACCGTAGACTATCAGTAATCCGAACCTCGATAACACGGAATTCTGGTAACTATTTTTGTATTATTATTATTATGAATGAATAATTACGATTGCCAATCTTAAACATAAAAAAGAACAATAAGTAAATTTGATTACACGTAAATAAATAACGGGAATAACAGAATTGGGAAAGCACTCGGTAGTGCCTACTCTAAACAAAAAGTTCTGTCCAACTGTCTAACCTGAAATTATTGTCAATAGTAAGAATGTCTTCATACCTTTTAAACTTAAGAGTTCCTGGTAACCCAATGCGAAGTATTATATGCATTATGCATGTTTAATAATATTGACCTGTGAAATATTTAATTTAAAGCTGTACATCAGCTTATTTAGCTATATATTATAACATTTTTTTATAAACATCAAAAATGACCAAAAAAATGTGGTATATTATTAAAATATTTAATTTTATATAAAAAAACTTGAATTTAACATATTATATTTCCATTAAAATACTAAAGAAGTGACATTCCCGTGTTAAGTTTAATAGAATAAATAAAAAAGATGATGGATAATTTCGAGATATTATAAGGCTAAAATTTTAAAAGTCATGTCGTTCAGATACTTAGGTACGCATGTTTATTGAAAACTCATTATGTAATAAAATACTTCGTCAAGTATTTAATACTTATGCATATTTATCATTTCATTCAGAATAAAAATATATTTAAAAGAAATTAATGTAAGACAGATTAATATAATTATTAACTTAATTTGTTACCTTTACTTAATGTGTTCAATATGCATTTAATTATTTGTATTTGTCGTTTGAAGGCTTTAAGTATTTTACTTCATGGAGTACTTAAAACTAAACGTCCGGGGGAATCGTCCGAGCTCGTTTAATTCGGTGACAAAAATATTATTGTTGGATTTTAGTGGTTATGCATACGACATACATAGTTTCCTCTTCAACTTCAACCATATATTATATAATACCACACACACCTTAAAACAAACGCCAATGACTGTCATTACAATTTAAATGGAACACCATGTATTCATTTGACTAATATTGAAATGTTTGTTTTATTTTCAGGAAACTCATTCTACATATTCTCAGCATTAGTATTATTCCTCGTGGGCAGTATTACAATAGTATATACACCATTTAACATATTAATGAATGAGGTAAGTACTATTATTATTAGTTATTCTGTTATCTTTTAGAATTTTAGATAGTTACACGTATTACCTGTATAGGAAGACACTATACTTGTAAACATACTAAACCCAAATATTAATACATTGTGTAAATGGAAAATAATATAAGTGAAAAATTATCTTTAACAATGTTTGGTTGAGTAATATTGATTTTTGCACTGGATACCTACTCGACGTACAATGAACGTCAAATGTTTAACAACACCATGTTTGTGTTCTGAAAAAAATAAATGACTAATTTACAGGCTATTTTGGAAGGTCATTATATGGCTTTTTACATAAATTTAAGATTTGTGACAAAAGCTATAATTTTTTGCATAGCGGATGGGTATCCTGCGACAGTGGAATTATATAATATTTAAATTTAAAATAACTATCACTACAATACGTAATAAGGATTCAAAAGATTATTTTCTTTTACTATCATACTAGGTAGCTATACCAATCACGAAAATTAAAAATTCATAAACTTAGATGAAAATAAAGAATTTTACATGTCAACATTTAAATAAATTTTCGAATAGGTTACTGTAGATAAATTAAAGATCAATACATTTATGGGTGCTAGATATTTTAAAAAAAACTCTTTTTAGTCAACCAAATGTATGGCTTATGATTATTTCAACAAACTATGTAGGCCACAATTTTCCCATTTTCTTATTTTAAAACTGTGACCCACAATGAAATGCTCAAAAATTGATTACTTTATAGCTTTCAAGTCACTCACTACAAAATGCTATACCTAATTGAAAATTATTGTAGCTAATACATAGTTAAAACCCCTGTTATAACTTTACTATAACATTAATATTTATTACTATAAAAAATACACCGCCATCGGAGCTTATCAAAACATTAAATTTATTTTTAAAAACACATATTTTTAGTTAAAAAAATGAAATGTCCAGTGTTTTTCAAATAAATTCTAGTAATTCCCCAGTATTTCTTCCTTGAATCGTATATTTTATACCTGAGGTTTAGCACACCATGCATTAATTAAGCACTGTGATGTTTTTTTAGGAACACCACTTTTTAGAATATTTTCTTGTTATTCGATCTTCGGACGACCGTTTTCACTATTTTAATGGACATGCATTAATTTAATATTCGAATAGTATACGCCCATAGGAGATTAAAGACTTGTAGGATCCTAATCAGTTTGATATTTATATTATTTACTATATATATATATAAACACTACCACTATGCATATTATTATTCCTATAGTTGTTCCATACGAAAATCCAACCCAGCTGGTGTCCACTGCAGAATGTGCAGCAGACAGCGTGGCGTGTATAGAATATATTGCATTCACTATAATGTGATACACGTCCTATGTGAATCACAATGTAATAAATTTATATTATATATGTAGGTATATCGTATATAATGTTACGACAAACGTTAAAGCTTAAAACATGTTCACAGCCCAACGATAATCCGTCGAAGATGTCTTGAATACATCAAAGTAACCGAATATTTTTCTTCTCTATTTCGTTAATATGTATATAGACATACATTTTTTTTTTTTAATTTTATCGAAAGAAAACCTGTATTGCCCACAGGCGTTTTGTTAATTCAGTTCTAGTAGTATATATTATATTATAATATACTACTACACCACCACCGATACCATTACCTTTTACTACTTTACTACTTTACTACTTTACTATATAGGTATATTATTACTTATATGACTACTATACTACAACTTCAACTTCAGCTATACTGGATCGGCTAAACTGGAATATTAGTCAGCTGTTATAATACATATATATATATATATTTATTGTACTATTGTGCAACTTATTTTAATGATATAGGTACATATTATTATTACTATACATAGTAAAGTTTAGCTCGTTTATAAGGTACTTAAAACATACTACATTATACTAAATATATAGTGTATAATATTATTATATAGAGCGAACTGTATAATATAGCCTTGTTAATAGTTTTAAGACTTACGTTGAGTAAACTTTGAGTTTTATAGTATTTGAATGATTTTTGATCTGTACGAATTATATTGTATGCTCTTACTATTATAGTATGTTGTACACGTCTGTCAATAAAGCATTAAATTCATTGATAAAAAGTAGGTACGTCTTAATAAATGTAGCCATGTAGAGGTACCTATTAATTATTATGAGACAACACAAAAGTGGTGTATGAAATACAAATCCTACACCGCAGTTAACGATGTACAAAAATCATTTGTTAATCATTTTGCTGTAATATAATATATTAAGTAAAACAAAATAACATTATTTTTGTGTTGTATAAATAATTTGCCGCCAGTCTTAGGTTCATAATGATAATATATCACTATAACACAAATCACGATCTATACGCATATACCGAAAGTCAACGAACTTGCCAAACTACATTAAAAGACATTTCATGTTTAACTCCATTATAATGACTACTCCAATTCACTCGTACAAATTATGTCATTCATTTGTTATGATTTTGTCCTGTAGGAATTTAAAACATTTACCTAAGGCTTTAGTAGAAATTGTTCTAAGGACAATTTTGCACAGATGACATTTCAAAGTTTAACCTAAAATTGATTCTGATTTGCGTTCCCATAACTCATTCAATTGAGTTTTATTTATTTTAAGTATATATTGTGATCAAAAACAATACATAATAAATTGAGTTTATTGCAGTAAATACTAAATAATGGCTAAAGGTAGGTAGCAATAATCTTTTCAAGAAACATTAAATAATTTACAAGATAATAGCTATAATCGTATGGTTACAATTTACAAAGGAGCTATTGTTTTTTACAATTTAGTTTTGATTTGTGTTTGTGTGTAGGTCTTCTATTTCCCATAATAAATAATAAATAATATTATTATATTATTAATAGAGTAAAGTTAGTGTACACTGTAAACTTTACAGTTATATACATAGATGCACATATTATGGTAAAAATAATACTGTATTTTATTTTTGATTTTGATTTCTTAGAGACTGAAAATGGTTCGTGGTCTGCCAGCATACGAATGGTGGAAAAATCCTCCTGATGAGGTATTGCTCAGAGTGTACCTATTTAACGTCACAAACAGTGAACGATTCGAGAACGGAATCGATAGTAAACTGGAGCTAAACGAAATCGGTCCAATAGTGTTCAGGTGAGCAACAATATCTATTAGAAAATCATTAAATTGTATATCAATTGGCAACAAAAATAGCACATATTTTTCAAAACCAAGAAGGAAAGAAATTTTAAATGTTCATATAACAAATGTAGACTTAATTCTTTTGATAATATCATATGGAATATGGATACATATAACGTCATGTATATGCATATTGTAGTGTCAAAGAAAATTCGCATGTTAAATAAAAACTAAACTAGGCTTGTTTTAAGTATTTAATTTAATTACTCAACTGGAATCTACAAAAGATAAATGAATAATAGTTTATTATTACGTAAACATTCAATAATCTTACAATTAATAAATATCATCTTCCGATGTAAGTCAAATTATTACCCATTGTCTTATAAATTAGTAAATAATTTCCGTGATTTTTAAGTATGGGTGTTTCTTTTTATTTTAATTGATTCTTAAAAATAACAAACATACAATCTGCTGAAAAACATAAATATTAATCAACAAATCAATAGTAATCATACTAGTAATAATAAATAATCAATTTTATTGCTTCAAACCAATGTGGCATAGTGCACTGACCGGTGACCACTTAACAAATGAATTAACTTATACTTGATTTTTGGGAGTCTAATTGATTTGTTTGTACAGCTATCTAATGACATCTTAACTATATGGAATTAATAATTTGTATATACACATTGTAACAGCAATAATATGTAATGGATAAGTAGAGGTACCTAGGTAGAATATTAAAATTAATGATATGGTATGTACCTACCGACAATATATTTTAAACAAATAACAATCGATAGTAAAACAAATGTTAAGACTAAACAAACGTTTAAGTCGTAACGTTTCACCTATGGAGACAATGCAGTGATAACATTCAAAGCCAAATAGACATAGGTAATCTATTGGTGCAGTCGTGCAGGTATCTTTTTATTGGCAGTACTCATTACATGTACCTACACGGCTACACGCTGTCATTGAACGTATTTAGTAGGTACTGAATAATGAATACCTATATATATTTTTATTTTTATTAGTATTTATTCATCGTAGGTTTGAAAACAAATAAAATATTGAATGTAAACTCAATATTTCTTTTGAACAGTTTTATTATTTATTTATAGTCTTGAAGCCCTTGAACAATGTTAAAAATGTATACTTAACTATGTATTGACAAACAACCAACAATACCCACATTTGGCATCATAATAATATAAAAACGAATTTTTGACCATAAAACAGTTTTTTTTTTACAACAATGTATATTATTATTAGGAGGGGGTTGAGATGTTTTCAGGTTTCATTTATCTTTATCATCAATTTTCTATTCATCGAGATCTATTAGTTGACAGTGATATATAGGTTTATAATAGTGTCTTAATACTTAATACTTCGACACCATGCACTAATAAAACAAAACACCCACAATTAAAATAATACAAACACTTTATTACTGTTTTGTTTTACAGTGATGCCATATCACACGATCGCCGATGAACTCCTTTCCGTCTTAATACTTGTGTGTTGTGTCTTATAATAATATATCATATAGCTCAACGCCTTAACCTAGTTTTATACGTTGATTAATAATATTCGTTTAGCCTATATACTAATAATATTACCGACTAAGGTCTTAATAAATTAATATCTATTTAATTAATTATATATGTTAAATTAATAATTTAATAGGTATGTAAAAAAATGTATAATCATTATACATTTTATTATACCTACCAAAATAGTAAATTACATCATAATGTTTTCTTAACCTAGCTTTGAATTCTAATATTTTTTTTGTATTTCATCAACATACTTTTTCCACAACTTAATGTTCACATGATACATATACGACTAATTATGCTTAATACATACATATACGTTTAACTATAGGTAACAAGCACCTATACCAATTTTATAATTTATCAATTGGATGCTTACTGTATAGAACTGGTGAAAATATTAAATTTGTAATGTTTTTTTTATACTACTGATAATGTGTACCATAATATGTTCACGAATACAAATACAAATACTCAAAAGTTATTAGAATATTTTCGGTAAGGCATTTTTATTTTTTATTGAGATCTTTATTGAATAACCTATATAATATAATATTAGTCATTACTGCGTATAATTCTATGTAGAATATATCATATAGTGAACATGTAGGTACTATTAAGTATATTTTGGATGGATAAAACACCTTTAATTTATAGTATACTGTTTTGTGTGTATTTAAAATATTTATTTACTAATTAATTAATTCGTATTCCATAGAGTCTAAGAATCTAAGGTATAAAAGAAATAGTTCTACGTTCGTTATTATAATAACTGGTAAGAAACAGATTTATCATACATATAAATAAATATATTTCTTAATTACCTACACACGTAATATACGAGGTATTTAATTAATTTAAAGAATTTTTTTTCGAAATAAATTACGTTTGTGGTTGTTTGTTTATTTATTTTTTAAACGTTGACGACCAAGTTCCGTGTAAGCCATTTTATATAATTGCTCACGATATAATCATCTTCACAAGAATAACAATCGTTTAAATTGTTGATGCATTAATTAGGTATGTGTTGAAGTGGAATATTTTGATTTCCGATAAGTGTTAACACTATTATACAATATTGCGTGTGCTCATACACGTAACCGTTAAATGCATATTCCCATCTAAAAATGATTTGTTGCTAATTCATTATTTATACACTGACGTTTACAGGATATTATTTTATGTGATTTGCTTCCAGAGAATTATTACGACACAGTGATGTTAGATTCAACGACAACGGTACAATGACTTATGTAGCCACGAGAACAGCCGTGTTCTTGCCAGAAATGACAAACATCAGTTTGGACTCTAATTTAATACTACCCAACTTTGCCGCGTTGGTAAGTAATAAAAATAATTTGAAAAATTGTAAAAATTTTGCAAAATTGCAAAAAAATAATGTTAATATTATTGTAATTAAAGCGATGAACACCATTGTTCACATAGCATATTACGTTAAATTTAATTACATCGGTGATGAGATGAGAATCCTCGTATAACCATCAATAAACAAGGTTTTCAGGAAAAAGACAAAAAATCCCTATAAATTATAAATTATTATCATGGTTTATGTTAATATTCAGAATAATAATTACAATAATTTTACACAACATTAATTAAATTTATTCAGTAGTACTTTTTATTCACGAGGTTTAGTATAAATACTTATTAGTTATTATAAAATAGTCAGTTCGGAAGTTACAGAAATACAGACAGCTCAACATAGAATACTACTATAAGAGCTTATCAGCTGCCTATAAATGTATATGTGGGTTGTCGACATTATAATATAGATCAAATTGGTTATTTTTAAATAAATTACTCATATTTGTGTTATACTCAAAAATTAAATTAAATCATTTATTTTTAAAGGTTCAATCTTTTTTTGTATTTATTAATTTGATGTTTCAACGTATGTTGAATATTTAATTGAAAATGAAAAAAAAAAAAATTAATAAATACTTCAAAGTATTGTATACTTTTTTTTCTTAAATTAATTTTTATTTTTTTTAGTGTAAAGACATTATTTTCCTCGAAAATATGGTTAAGATTTTTTGTATTTTAATGGTCAATTACATAAGTAATCCATTTTAAAATTTTAAAAATGGGTATATTTTTATCAGTGATTTGAAAAAGCGTATAGATGATTTTTAAGTTAGTATTCTATTTCGAAATTACAAGAACCTTGGATCTCCGAGCCAATAATATTTTTCTGTAGAAAACCTTAATGAGTCATAATTTTAATTTTAGAGAAAAGTCTTAGCACGTTTTGATTTATTCTAAAATGCAATGTTCCTATTAGTATTATAACGATGATTTTATCTATCTCTTTTATATTAATTAATATGAATAATGGATTTTATAAATGAAGTTTGAATGGTTTTTATCTTTAAGTTTATAAATATATAAACGTAGAAAAGTTTTTTGTTTTAGTTAAGCTAATTTAATAAATTTATGCATTAAATGCATAGGTATGCATTTTTAATAATTATACGACAAAATATAAATTCTTATATAATGCTATCTGAAAATTCTAACTTTATAATACATTTAATAATACGTTAATAACATGTTGGGTTTACAATAAATAGGTATTATATAATTATTTAATAAAAGTTAAAATATTTTACTTTAAAATATTTCATCTATCACTTACCTAATGAATAGTTTTAAAAACTAAACATTTTTAAAAAATAATAATCGTGTTTGAACATGATAAAGTTAATAATATTCGTAACTGATAAGGGAAGTTGATTGAATATTACTTAATATTACTTAATCTATTGTACTATTGTAGTAGTATTGCCCTTCGGTATATCAATATTAAATTAACAAACAATTTATTTTTATTGCTCCATACAAAAAAAAACTATTGAGTAATTACGACATAACTTTTACAAAATATTAATTTTTATTTTATTATTTTTACATAGGGAATGGCATCGTATTTGTGGGATGCTTCTTATTTCACGAGGTATGGGTTCAAATTAATGATGGAAATGTTGGATACGAAAATGTTTATTAAGACATCCATTAATGATTGTTTATGGAATTTAACTGACCCGTTAGTCCAGAAAGCAAAAACGATGATGCCTGGTTTAGTTCCTGAAGAAAATATGGGTATATTATACCAGGTAATATATTTATTTATTTATTTGTTTTAAAAAAACAAAAATAAGTTGATGCATTCAATAGGTGATATATAATATGTATAAATTATGTTATATAATAGTATTAAGTACCCTAACTTATGTTTAATAATTACATTTATTATGCTAAATAAATAAATAATAAAAATATAAAATATGTAATGTTTAACAAACGTTTTGCAATTTTCAGTGGTAGGTAGTATATTTTTATTTTTAAGCTTAAATATCCTTACAAAGTAAACACTTCTATATCTACTCTTAAATGTTTTCAGATTTATAACAAGTTTACGGACGAAGTTACCGTATTCATGGGTCCGGAAAACGGGAGAAGGTTCTTCACGGTAGATAAGTATCATGGAAAATCAAATCTTGGAATTTGGGAGGATTCAAAGTGTGATAGTGTACAGGGTTCTTCTGAAGGTGTTACGTACCATCAGTTTGTATCAAAAAATGACACATTGAAGTACTTAAGAAAAACCATGTGCCGAGTGACACCACTAAAATACAAAAGTGCGTGCTGATAATCTTAACACATTTACTTGTAATCAACAGTTTTAACTTCAACACATTTTTTTTTTTTATTAAGATGAGGTGACCAAATCGGGCATGACAATGTACAAGTTTATTCTACCAAATAATGTATTTTCTCATCCACAAACCGACCCAAGCTTAGAAGACTGTTTTCATAATCCAAAATCAACTCCTCTCCTTTCTGGGCTCTCTGACGTATCACCGTGTTATTATGGTATGTAATTGAAAATTGAAATATTATATTAAAATTAAACAAGAAATATAAAATTATAGATTCTTGAGCCATATTAAGTTTAACGTTAAATGTACAGATGTACAAATCAAATAAATTAAAATAATTATAAATATCTAGTCATTTTTATAATCCATATTTTTTTAACTGCGCATATTTATTTAGGCCTGAACAAGTAAGTTACAATTATAATTCCATTCCCTAGTGTCGAAATAGCGAATGAATTTACCCATCCGGGGCCTAGCAATATTATTCACGGTTTAATTTCGACACAAAACGTCTCATTAAATAAATCATAACGCCATATGAGCCTTAACAATTAATTTTGAACTATATAATATTATGTTGTCATAACCAGATAAAAAAATAAAGTGATATATATAATATGTGTTATACTATATTAATTAAAATATTAAATTTTGAAAATTTAGAGTATATTATGCTATGTATATGATGAAACGCAGAGTAATACTGATTACACTAAACAATAATTAGAATTTGTATAAATATTCGGTGTTACTAATTTTCATCATATCATTATATGGGCACCAATAGCATATGTTATTTTACTGGCTTTCATTTTTAGCACACTGCACACTAATTACATAAATTAATCAATAAGCGTGGATAATAATGTTTAGTAGAAAGACGTAAAATTAAAAAATATTGACACTGTAACGTTGTTTGTGAGGGTATAGTATTAGGTTAGGATTTTTTTTTTTTTTTGACAAATTATTTTAACGATATGTCATAATAATTGACATTTATCGTTCTCTAAGGCAATATTATTGCAAATTTTTAATGTATTATGTAATATTGCCGTGTTTTAAAAATGGTGAGTACATTTGAAAATAATCATACCATACATTGATCAATTTATCTTTTTCAAATACATTATTTCAATGATATTATTTGGATCATAAAATATTTGTTTAAAATAAAATTAATACTATAGCGAAAAAAATGTAAAGCTATTTTTTGCATTTATTCATTCATATTTTTATTACCTATAACAAGTACTTGAATTAGAGTGAATTGATGTACTAATTTTAATTTTTAATGTATTTTATAATATTCATGAATGCAAAAACAATAAATTATGTACCTGTTGGAAATTGGAATGTTAATTCATGAAATTGTGGATGCATGCTATTTACGTTTATAATAATTATACCTAAATCAAGTAATTTGTTTGTAAACATTTAAAATTATATTTCATTAAATCTATTTCTATCTGTCATTAGATCAAGGACTAAATTTAATCTTAGCCTGTGCTTTAGACTAAACACAATTGAGTAGGCAAACAAAATTATAGCTTGAAATGCATTATATTATAAACTAATAGTGTTAAAAGTGCAGCTTCAATAAAATAACGAACGATTACTAACATTTTATTTAAAATCCACAAATGTTTGTTTAAAATACATGGAATTGTTTTTACTTTTACAGATTTCCCTATTGCAGCTTCATTTCCTCATTTCCTCAACGGTGATCAAGCACTAGTAAAATCAATTTCAGGATTAAAACCTACTGAAGAAAATCATGGCTCGTACTTAATCGTCGAACCAGTATGTACCTAGAGTCTAATCTTAACAAATTAATTTTATTGGAATTTACATTAAAACTTTGACATTAGTATAAAATATATTATTTAAAACAGTTAACAGGGGTTCCAGTCGAAAGCAGAGCTCGTAGCCAAAGCAATCTAGTCATGCATCCCACGAGTGGATTTTCAAACATTGACAAATTCAGTAATATGACAATACCAATGTTTTGGGCAGAATATGTAAGTAATCCAATGTCAATTATGTAAAGTAATCTTAAATCTTGTACTATGATAAATTTCAAACTTTGGACACACAATATTATAGATGCGTTAATATTCTTACCGGTAGCCACCTAAACTTTTTGTTATTTTATAGGTAGTAAAAGTTATCAATATTTAAATAAATCAATATACTCTCATTGAACTCCATCGTCATTGATAAAATATGACATCTCATAAAATAATAATCAATATTTTTTTTATTTTTTTCGGAAATAATCGGATATTATTCTATATACTACTTAGGTAGGTACCTTAATTACATTTTTTACGAACTTGTACCTACATACAATTCAATATACTTTAAATTAAAATATATTTTTTTATGCATCATTATTTAAATACCAAACTAAAATAATAACTTATGAAAGTACTTTTTTTGTTTTAATTATTCTGTTGCATCTATAAATATGTAAATACCTGTGTTTCGCACTTTTTTGATATTTCTTTTACACAGCAGATTACCCATATAATACGTTTAAAAATAGTAATAATATTTGTATAATTAATACATTTTTACTTATTATTTGGTCATCATTTATTTTTTTTTGTTTTTTTTTTAGTACCTATATGAGGTCAATGAGTGTAGTTCCTTGTTAAAGTATAAATGCATTTTATTCTTAAAAGTTTACTTCTTCGTATTTTCTAGTAGGTACTTGGTATTCAGGGAAATAGAGAAAACAATTTAAATATTAATTGATGTTTAAGAAGCATAATATAGAAATGCAATCATAAAATTACATTTATCAGTTCTAGATAAACTGGATCGTTATTTATTTGATGGCTTTGTTTCTTTCATATAAATATATTTGTATTTTTTTAATCAAGCTGGTTAGAATAATTTTGCTCTATTTGTCAATTTGTACATATTTTAAATTAGTTCCAATAGTAATTACTATTGAAATGTTATTATAATACTGCAAGTGCAAGTACCTAATACTTACATAAAACTCACGATAATAAAAATTATTATTTTTCAGAATCAAGTGGGTTTACCTTGGTACATAACAACTCTAATGTATTTTACTGTTAACGTTTTGCCGTGCACGCAATCGATCGGGAGCATCGTCATGATGATAGCCGGTTTGGCAATGATCGGCAAAACGATATTCGATGCAGCATTTGGTTATAAAAAACCACTATACTCATATAGTTCTTTGGATCTCTTGCCGTCAATTAGCTAATACATTTTGTAGAAACCTATCAACGAAGAAATTGTCAACATTTTATTTTTATATAATTTATTTATACACATAGTTTTAAGTATTTAAATTTTATTTCTTATCATTTTATGTTCATCGTATTTTGTCGAACGTGTCTATTCATAAATATGTTCTGACATTTTGTTATACCTAATAAAAATCATCTTTTTTCACCATAAACTTAATATTGTATGTTAATAAAATAATATGATGTAGGCATATTATGTACACATACATCATTTCCATGATATAGTTGTAATGAATTATACAATAAAATATATACTAAGCAATGATATTGCAGAGAGTTGATTACAATTGTTTCATCATCTGTTTATAATGATGTCTGATTAACCAAGTATAATGTTACATTTAAATGAATTTCAATAGAAACAAATTAATATCAACGACGAGTAGGTATTTATATCTATCAAATTGATAAAAGTTGGAAATTTGCATCGTGGCTAACGATCAAACGGTAATATATATAGTTTAAACAACATTATTTATAACACAACCCATTTTAAAGGTAGGTAAGTACCAACAGGCAACTACAATACCAATTGGTATTATAACTTAAAATATTTTTTCTCGAATATATATTGATTGTAACTATATGTATTCTAAATGGTTATTGCAATTTCTTATCTCTCTTCATAAGAGCCAAGGCCCGAGGGATTACATATTATAATGATTATACCTACCTACTGTTAGGACAATGGGACATTATTGGAATAAAATCAAGTAGAAGTCATCCAAAAGTATAGGAACTGAAAATACAATAAAATTATACTGATCAGTAGGTAATCAGTCTACTTAAGAAACGGCGTAGTTAATGTAATAATTTATAGTTGGTATTTAAGGTTTAAAAATGAACGTCTTGCAAATTTTAACTACAGTTCAAATTTGAAATTATTACTTCCTATACTCTGTTGTGAGGTAGGTACACACTAAACCTACAGGATACTATACCTACACCAGATCGACTTTTTGTATCTTGACTTAAAAATAATTCAACTAATCAAACGATGGTATTTACAAGTATTATAATGTTGTTTAAACAATTTCAGGTTATATTAATATTAGGGTAAGAAATAATATGGCATCCAACTCTGGGTAATTCCAAGAAATCCAACCTAAACGAAATGTATACATTAAAATCATAATCATACTCTCAGTCACCAATGCCTCTATAGCTCCTTATATTTCCAATAATTTTGCTTTACACTCAGAACTAAAAATGAAAACCATTCATGAAGAAGATAAAACGTATTATTAAAGATTTTTAACAGACTATCCATACATTCCAACCACCTGCAATGATATCTGATTTGGCCACTCTCACGATATCTGGAAATCGCCCACGATGTTTGAAAAGACATTGGTGTAGGCCTTCTTAATGATAATAACCAATAACTACAGAAAGAGAGAACAATATATATATATTGACTATAGATATATTATATATAGATATTTATGTAGGTATAAAGGGTAGTTCTATACTGCTTATCACTGGGTGGCTTCTTTTCTCACATAGTCACATGTTTACTTTTATTACTCGTGTCTTTCTTCTTGTAGCATATATTTTTATTGTGCCACTCAGATTGGGCAGATTGGGCACGCAGAATACAGATTGTATATTTTTAATAAAAATAAGAAATGTTACCTACTAAGGAAGTTCTATTTTATTGGTATTAATATAAAAATATTTAGTCAATAATTATATTATACTAAATAGTAGGTAGGTATGGTAAATTGCACAGGAGGCTCAAGTGCAACAACCTGGTGAATCCACGTTTTTGTGAAATCATTTTTCAGAACAATAAGGAATATTATATGTAGGTAGTAGTAATATAGTATTATAGGTAAGGTACACGTTTCAGTGTAACAAATTAGTATGTCCGTTTATTAGATAATAGATACGGTAATATCACTAATATCAACAAAATATATGCCCCCGTAACCGCATGTTAATTGATAATAAAATATTAATAATTTATTTATTTATTATTATCTTATGACTATTATTTAATCAATTAAATGATTTAGGTATAAGAGTATGTTTTTATTAATTTACGAGCAAGAAATAAGGTAAGTCCATTATTTATAATTATATTTTATTGAGTGGTCATAATTTGTAATTGGGATCATATAAAAGTAATTTGAATACACATTACCTATCAATAGTTACATAAACAGATATACCACATGTGTTCACTATAAATAAATCAGATATCATAAATATCAATGATTATTCTGACATTTCTTTTACTGAGAATTATAAAAAAAAATTATGAGCAAGAAATAAGGTAGGTAGGTACTTATAACATACTTGCATGTTATATTTCATATTAATATTATCTATCTATGCCCTATGAGTTAGTAAAAATGTAATTTAAATACTTATTACATAATACATAATATCTTTAAATAAAGAGGAAAGTTAGTAACTACCTACCCGTTTTCAGTACTTTTCACTATAAACGTATAAGTTATCAAAAATAATAATGAATTAATGGTTTTTTCTTCTACTGAACAATAAATTATGAAAAGTGGACATACCTACCTGCATGGGCGTAGTTTGGCATAATTTTATGTGGGGGCTATATAGGACTAGAAAAATATACCATTCAAAAAACTCCTTTCGTTTAACTGGAATTAAAAAGAAAAAGAACATTTTCTAAAAAAAAAAAACAATTTATATTTGCCTTCTTCTTAACCTGGCATTTTATTTTGCAATATAAAAAAAAGATAAAACAATTAAAATTTAATTATTAAATCAAACATAAGCTAGGCGTCTGTGTTTTTCTGAAAATATGTTAAGTACATTTTCTGATTCTATTGCATGTGATAAATCTCTTTCGATATGAAGTATTGACAAGTTTGTAAATCTATCATTTGTCATGGTATTTCTAGTCCAATTCTTTATTCGCCTCATAACAGAAAATGAACGTTCACATGAGGCAGATGATATAGGTATAGTAAGTGCAGTTTGCAAAAGTTTATAAAAATTTGGAAAAATATTGTTGTCTACAACAGGTATGATGTCATCTATTTCATAATTTTCTTTATTGATCATATTTTTTAGGACTATCATTTCAGCCTTCAATCTTTCTGGACTTATGTTTAATATTTTCTAGAAAAAAAATTTAAAAAATCAAAAAAAAATCTTAATATATAGTTTTAAACTTCATAGGTTAGGTACCTCATACTTATTAACAAACTCAATACTTTCTTCATATTTTAATTGTATAAAATTGTCCACTCCTACACCGATTTTAAACTTTCTAATGAAAACCTATTTTTTTTTTTAATATAAATAAATGTGTTTATGATAAAAATAAATACCTAGGTAATAGGTATATGTATGTAAGTACAATAGTATTGTCAATAAACATTACACTGCTAATATTATACTATGAAGCCTTGACGAATTTTAGGGAAAATTATAACATTTAAAACTATAATTTCGCCTTTCGGATAAAATGTAAAAAATGAGGACCATGGGGATTGAGGGGGCTACATAAATTTCTGTGGGGGCTACAGCCCCCACAGCCTCCATGCATACTACGCCCATGCCTACCTGATTGCTGCACTGGACTCTTCAGTAATGGTATTATTGTTTTAACTTTAGTACCAAAAAATAATACTATAAATTAGAACTGTTGTATAAATAAATAATTTACTATTATAAATTATGATACTATTCATATTTTATAAATGTATAGGTAATTAATAACTTATTCAATACCAACTAATAACAATATTATTGCCTTATTACTTAGGGTTAGGAACATGTTTATAATAATAATCACAGAAACACCGCAATAGTGAACTGGCTTAAACAATTAAAAGTTTAACAGGCAACCACATATATTACTCAAACAAAATATTTAAAAAATTTAAATTTTCCAAATCTCAAAATATTTAAAATCAATTAGGCACACATTTTAGACGTAGCAACTACAAAAACAATGACCACACAAGAACACTTGATCGAAAGTATGTTACAGTTTACACAGAAATTTAACTGCGGTTCATCAATTATCACATTATTACCATCATTTTTTTATTTTTATTACTTCTGGCGCTTATCCGAAACATATATAATAGCATACATGAACCCAATTCAAAGACCACGCCGCCTGCATAGAGTTCCAAAAGGTCAATGGTGGAAATTCTGGCTGAAGGTACCTATTGCTAAATACTACTATTATGACAGACACTAATCAATGTTTAGAAGGAACGAGTTCCAAAAGGGACGGATTCCTGGAACGAATTCCTTTTTATAAAAAGAGAACGAGAAAATGATCGAGTTCTTTTTTTCAAGAAAAATAACAACATGTTTCGTTCCTTTCTAGTTACAATAATTTACACAGAATATATGTAAATAATTGAAATTAAGATATATTTTTTTTAATGTTTACAATGTATATTGCCAATTAGTAATCGTTATCGAGTGTCGACGTTAATCGTTAGGTACTCATTAGTCATTAGTAACTTTATTGATACTTCTAATAAGTTATAAGTTATAATTTATATAGAAATGAGTACTTATATTAGTATATTACATATAATATAATTATTTATAACAATAAACGATAGATAAGACAGTCGACATACATTAGCCAACAATTTAATTTTGAAGAAAATCTCAAAGTAGAATGTTAAACATGATTACATGAATATACAATATACATGTTTATAATAATAATAATCACAGAAACGTCGAAATAGTGAACTGGCTTAAAAAAATTAAAAGTTTAACAGGCAACCACATATATTACTCAAACAAAATATTTAAAAAATTTAAATTTCAAACCAAATCTCAAAAATATTTAAAATCAATTAGGCACACATTTTAGACGTAGCTACTACAAAAATAATGACTACACATGAACACTTGATCGAAAGTGTGTTACAGTTTACACAGAAATTTAACTGCGGTTCATCAATGTTCACATTATTCCATTCATTTTTTTATT